AATTACAGAGAGAAGACCAGATACCTCCGCGATGCCCGAGGCGCTGCGGGCGGGAGGGGATCGAGGGTCGGGCTTTTTTACYGGACGGTTACCCATTGCGGAGATATGACTACAATTCATCTTCGAACTGACTGCTGACTGGCCCGTCCGAAAAGGGTAACAGTCCTCCGGTTACTTTTTTATTGGCAAACAGAGAACAAGAGCAATTACAGAGAGAAGACCAGATACCTCCGCAATGCCCGAGGCGCTGCGGGCGGGAGGGGATCGAGGGGCCACAACATGACCTACCCGTAATTGTACTTAACTGATTCCATCTGAATCCTGACTGAGGTCTGTAATTCAGCAGTTGATGGGTGTTACTGATCAACATGCTTTCGGGCATCAGGCCTCGAACTGGCACCCTCAGCTACAGGAATGAAGTCTCTTAACCACTACAACCCTTGGAGATGTTATAAAAACTGGATCTATACCGGTCGCGATAAGGTATACCAACTGAGCTAGGCCGGTTGGTAGTTGCATGCACTTAATTCCTCGTTGTGCATCAGATCTTAAACCACCAGTAGTTGGCCCGGCTATCGGACCATGGAAAAAAAAAAGAGTGGAAACATTTCTAGTCGGATGAATTTGGGCGCTCCTGTAGTGGCCCGTACGTTTCCACTGTACCCCTGGACGTAACCTCTCCCCCTCCCCTGCACATACCCTTGCCCCCCCCTCTTCTCCCGTGCACCCTGCCTTCTCCTCTGCAACCCCGTCCTTTCCCTTGCGCTTCTCTCCCCTTGTGCTTTTTCCATTTCCATAAACTCGACGCGGAGTTTCATCAGTTTCTACAATGTGTCACGCGATGCGACCTTTCGGTGCTGCCCTGGGGTTTACGCAACTGTACAAAATTTTCCCTTCATGTACAGAGAACACCGTTTCGATCAGATTCAGTGGTATAGTGTGTAAGCATATGCCGTCGGCCGAATAGGTGAGGTTTGATGTGACAGCTGCTGCACATGCTTAATACGCCGAAACCCGCATGTAGCATATGTTCATACTGCCATGACCAATTTTTTTTTTTTTTTTCGGTGACCATTCCCCCTCCCCCTCCTCCTCTTAAATTACTGTATGTTTGGAATGGCACCATGTGCTGAGATTTTCGATGTAGACAATGAAACCACCAGTACCTACTACATGTTTTGTACCCCCCCGTGTCGAATGAATATGGACCTGAGGGGAAGACCGATTCGGCTACCGCGCTAATGGCCGCAACGACTGGAAGGTAGTGGTGGTTCAATCAGTTCCTTCAACTTCCTTGTGAGCGTGGAGGCGAGTCCATTGCCTGTGTGCGCAAAGACCAATCAATCAGTTCGACATGTACAGGAAGGCGGCATATGCAACAGTATCGGCCTCGCTCCACTGTGCAACATTGTAAATGTACCTGCAGCTGGTACTGGTCCTAATACATTCAACATGTTTGATGAACCCAAATGTATCTTCTCCATGTTGTGGTCCAGATACATGTTGAATGATGAACAGTGGAGCAACACCCTATGGTATAATGTTCCAGTTCTTCATGGTTCTGTCATAATTGTGACCTCAGCAATGGGCTTTTATGTGGCGATTATCATTTAACCATTTAACCCCTCTCCTCCAGCCCTCAACCCCGACACACACACACACACACACACACACACACACACACGATTACCATTTAACCCCTCTCCCCCTGCCCTGCTCCCCTCCTCACACACACACACACACACACACACACACACACACACACACACACACACACACTTCCTCACACCATACGCACACACTCCCTCACAGATAGACGTACACACAAACATCCCGGGCAGACGGTCGAGGATTCAAGCCTCCTGGTGACGAGTCGGTGAACGTAGGACGAAGGACGAAACAGTCTGGCAGAGTCATGTTTCTTTTTTTGGTGTTGTGTATAGAATACAATACAACAGTGACACACACAAAAGTAAGGAAAGAGAAGAAACACCTGCAACGGTTTTCGTGTGCTCCATGCTGTCTGCTGATTTTTCCATTTGCTTCCCAACGTGCACTGCTTTTGTTGATCGATATGTCATGTAAAGCTGTTTCAATCAAGTTTAGATGTACTCAGTGCTACTCCTGTCTCTTATACACATCTAGATGTGTATAAGAGCGGAGATATGACTACAATTCATCTTCGAACTGA